TTTTTCTGATACATCTCTCACTGCTGAAATTGAGATCTGAGGATCAAAAACTTAGATGACATGAAGGAAAAACACCCCAAGATTACTTTTGGCTAGATATATCAGCTCTGCAAGAATGAAAGGAATTGAGCTTCCAGTGAAAAGCTGAATGAATAAACATCAGGAGTAAAAGGCATAAGTTGTGGAGGTTAAGACTAGAGGTATTTTCTTCAAAGTGAAATTCAGCTTTTCTTATATTGTTTCTATATAGAAGTCAATTCCTCTTTTTCTCTGAATAACTTAAACCAACAGTTTCAATTTTTCTTTTTCATTTAAAAAAAAACCAGTCAGTGCTTCGAAAATTGGTCATGGAAAAACCTGAGATAGCATAGAAAAAGGCAACATCTATTTTCCCTTCAACGAGATGTGTATGACATAGTAAACTGCTATTTCTGCTAAGCAACAAATTCCCCTGCAAGTCATCCCTGAGTTCTGCAGACTGAAGGGATGTTCCTGATTTGTCCCTCCTTTCCTTACCTGCTGCAGTGGCAGTGATGGCCAAGGATCAAGGCAGATGGTTGACATCTACCATTAAGAGAGAGCAAACAGGAGATCTCTGACATTATCTCTGAAAATGCATTTGCTGGCAGGGCTGAAATGCCAAAAAAATTCTCCATTCAGAGGAGTGTAATTTCTAGCAGCAGTTTGAGGGGAAAGGGAGAGGGAGTAATGACAGTGCATCAGCTTGGGTTTGCCAAATGCAAAGAATAAACAGTTGTCTTGGTACCATTTCAATAAAAAAAAAAAAAATCTTTGAATAAGCATGTTATCATCTTTCCAGTGAGCAGGAGTTAGGGCTGTGCTTAACATTCAGCAAGAGCTGAACAATGAGCTGAACTGGGACCACTGTGTGAAACTGGTCCAGGCTCCCCATTTGCTTTGAATCATTCCTGTCAGCTGCCAGGAAGAAATAGCAGTTGGCACACATTTGAGAATGAGGAAGAGCAAAGAAAGCTCTGAGTGAAAGGCTCAGCTCTGGTGCAAGTCACAATCTGCAGAGGCGACGAATTACAGAACCTGAGTCAGGGGATGACAACGTCAGCGTGGAGAGGATGATTAGTGGGAGAGGTATTAATAGAGGCTATGCAAAGAGGCTCCTTCAGCACTCCTGTGACGGAGGCAGAAAATAAAGTTGTTTATGTTCCCGTGAAGAAAACCATCCCCATCCTGCTCTGTCTCCAAGTCCAGCCCTCAGGACTGTGGGAATCAGCATTCCTGGTCATCCCATCTCACAGCAAAACAGGTTTGGGAGTGCACAGGTCTCCTCACAGGAGCTCACAGCCCCACGTAATCCCTTTTACAAAGGTCTCTAAGAATATTTCTTCCCCTGCTCCTTTTAATGAATGGTAATAGGGAACACTTGATTAGAAGCTTTTCATCATTTTAGGACTAGGGGCTTTAGCTTTCTGACCTACTTTCCTTGCCAATGAAATTCCATTTTTAGCATCAACTCAAGGTCTGAATGTTACCCAAATTCAGACCATCTGTTTTAACTGCCTACAGGCTGAGAAGTTGATCCAAGTCAGGAAGACTAAATGGAACCAGTGTGTTCATAGATTAAGTATTCTGCACCCTCTGTGTATTAAATAATCCACTCAGTTTATTCCCAAGTCTACATAAACATTCCCATTTCTTTGGGCAGCACCTGCTGTTGTTGGAAGGAATATTTATGCTACCAATTGCTCTCAGAGACCTTCACTAGGTCCTTTCCTGAACAAGTACAGGAATCAGCAAGCTACAGTTGACTCCAAGTCCATCTTATCCCTGGATTTGGCTTTGGTGAGGGTTGGTAGAGACTACCCAGAAATACAGATCCACTCTGGGAAAGTCATTAAGGAATAATCCACCTCTCCTTCCAATTCTCACTGCTAGATAAGCAACAGGACTTGCATCTCCTCTGAGAAGGATTTCAGATATATCTCTCAGTCCTTTTATTGCAGAAAACTCAGTAAGAAACACGAATTTATAAACCAGAACAAAATCAAAAAGGCAACAGTACCTGGAAAATCCCTAAGTACCTGCTGACCAGAGCTTTACAGAAAATCAGAACGAATCTGAGGCCTGAAGATAAGCTGCTGCTGCTAGAGCTGATATGCATCTCCAACCCTCACCCCTCACAGCTTGGCTGATGGATGGAATTTCAGCAGAATATCTAGAACATCCATGAAAACATTACCAACTAAAACATGCCAGAGAAGAAGAAAACAGTAGTGTACAACCAAGCCAGTTACTACCGAGGCTGAATCCCCAGCTGGGGAGCTGCCCAGCTCAAAACAAGACAGAAAATAAGTATATTTAATGTAAAAGAAGCCTAGCATGAAATAGGCTCTGTACTTCCCTGGACACAGCTGATTTGCTGTTGGAGTCTGTCATTTGACAGCCTGTTTATAGATTCTCCTGCTTCAGAGCCATCATGGCTCTGTTTACAGCTAACTCTTTCAGGAGGCACCACGAGCCTCCTCACGTGTCCTGCTCCTCAGGCATTCATTAGTGCATCCTGCTCTTTCCAGGATTAGTTGCTTTTAAAAGCTGTCATCAACAACACCAGATCATCCTCATGGACATGGATTGCTGGATCTGTGCTGCCAAACACCTTCAGAAAACTTCTCTGGTATTTTCAAAGCATCAAACCAAAAATAACTAATTAATCCTCATAACACTTGTCCAGGACAGCTCTGGAAATATCATGATTTCCCTTATGGACATGGAAAAAAATCAGATAGAAAGGGAATCTGTCTGTCCTGAGGCCATGACAAGGTTTACTTTTAGACCCCAGGAGTGCTCCATCACTGATCCTGTGTCACCTTCAATCCATCAGATGGGATCGTTGCCTCTGTAGCTCCAGAGCCTCCTCCACCTCCACAGTACACAGGAATTTGTGAATGTTTGTATGTGTCTGCTGAAAAAGGCAACAGCATCTTTGCATTCCTGGAAGAATGAAGAGGTGACAGGATGAGGTGAGTTAGAGTAGGTGTTAGGAAGGAATTCTTCCCTGTGAGGGTGATGAGACACTGGCACAGGTTGCCCAGAGAAGCTGTGGCTGCTCCATCCCTGGGAGTGTTCCAGGCCAGGCTGGATGGGACTTGGAGCAACCTGGGCTGGTGGAAGGTGTCCCTGCCCATGGCAGGGGGTGGACAAATGACCTTTAAAAGTCCCTTCCACCCCAGATTCTTCTCTTCTGTGATCCTATTCAAAGTTCCCATGGACAGAATGGCACAGTTGAGCAGCAAACTCTGTGCTCTAGAGAGCTGTGAGTTTTGAAAGCTAATTCCGACAATGTGGATGAAACAGGTAATGTGACATCACCCTAAACAAAAGATCTAACTATCCACATAACATACTGTTAATTCCCTGCTCACTCATCATATGCAAAACCAAGGAAGGAATTAGTAACATTTGCTTGTGTTTCCATCAAGTGGAAGTGACATGATCATTACTTCACTGGAGGTTCAAACCATCATCAACATGATTCCACTGGATTTGCACCTATGGAATCAAGGGACATGAGCTCCTCTGAGCTGTCACATGCAACACACACAGTCTGGCAATGCAACCCAAACATTCTTGCTTCATTTTGGCCACTCTTTTCCCCTCTCCTTTGTGCAAATCACAGTGATTTACTTACAGTATAAAAAGAAAGATCTCTTGTACCTGGAAAGCCACATACTAATTCCATGCTTTATTCCAGCTCTTTCACGCAAAAGGCTTTCAAAATCATGGTCTATTGTGGAGTACATAATGTTATTGTTCTGTCCTTATTGTCCCAAAAGCAAATGCTTACAGGCTGGAGTGAAGTCTTCTTTTGACTCTACTGTGCTGGGCAAAAGGTTAGCGAGATAAAGCAGCTCTTAGAGAGCTGTTAATGCCAGTGTGAGGCAAAACTACTAAATCAGGGGGAGCAGCATTGTTTCTGTTTCCAGCTCCAGGAGAGATTTCAGCTTTCTGGGGCTGTGTGTGAAAACCACACGGCTCTGCACCACTAGGCAGGCAATGTCCCCTGACCACCGAGACATGGGAATAAGACAAAGCACAGCCCTGAGCATTTGATGCATGGCACAGCTGTCCCCATGTTCTTGTGATGGTTCTGTGACCTTAACCAGATCTCCTGGGAGCATCTGGAGGTGCTGAGCTTGGTGGGACCTGACTACCCTCCCTTGAGCCAGCTCTGGAGAAGAGAAGGGTGTTGGACCTGATGCTCTGTCCAGAGACAGGTCTACTGGTAAGAAGGAAGGTGCTGTCCTACTCTGCTCTGCTGAGATCCCACCTGCTCTGGGGGCCCAACACAAGAAAGATGTTGACCTGTTGGAACAAGCCTAGAGAAAGCCATTAAATTGATCACAGCAGCAATCCTATAGGGATAGGAAGGTTCCAGGGAGAACTTATAACACCATTCAGTGCCTAAAGGGGACTTACAAGAAGGCTGGAGAGGGACCTTTCCCAAGGGCATGGAGTGACTGCACAAGGGGAAATGGCTTCAAACTGCCAGAGGGCAGAATTAGACCAGATATTAGGAAGAAATCCTTCCCTCTGAGGGTGCTGAGGCACTGGCCCAGGTTGCCCAGAGAAGTTGTGGCTGCTCCATCCCTGGGAGTGTTCTAGGCTAGGTTGGACCCGGCTTGGACCAACGTGTCCTAGTGGAAGGTGTCCCTGATAATCTTTAAGGTCCCTTCCAACCCAAACCATTCTGTGATTCTATACAGGTTTAGCAATTTTCAACTGTACTCATCTCCTCTGCATCTAGAGGAACCCATGGAGACAACAGCTACACAAACATGGTAATTTCTGACCCAGGAGTTCCTCCCCAGCTCTGTGCCTTACCCAGGCTGAAAGGGAAAGGCTGCTGGGACAGAGCACCTTTTGTAAAGCTGTTTCACTGTCCCCAAGGTTGTCATTGCACCTTCCAATGTCCCTATACCATAGGGTCTTGCAGCTGTTCTGCTACAACTCCCTATTTCTCAGACTGTGGATGTTGCACAGAGACACAGGATCATCAGAGATGCTGTGAGAGGCTATTTTTAGAGTGAGTCAGTTGATGAGCTGTTCAGCACCTTATTTATTGCTGTCTCCAGCTGAGAACCTAAGCAATGTCCAGACACCTCTGTGGCTAAAACCAGGACTTGAAGCAGTGACCTCTATTTGATAACACTTTCTCTACTGACAGAGAGAAAAACAACAGCACATTATCCTGTCAAGACTAATAGCTGCTAATTAAGGTGAGTGACATATGACCTCTTTTATAGCCAAAGAACACAGAAGTCACCCTACAAATAAAAACCCCATGGAAATTCTGCATTCACAGTGTTTTCCACTCTAAAGAGATATCACTTAGAAGTAATTTTTTTTTCTTTTGCTGGCTTGTCTAACAGTTTACTTAATGTGTACAGTGAGTCAGTGTCAGGGTTCACAGTGTTCCTGTGGTAGGAGTTGGGGCCTTGAAGGGACACCAGGAGAAAAAAAGGGGACAAACCAAAGCAATGTCATTGGAAACATGGGATACATGTGTGGAGGCTCTAGAATCACTATCAGAGTGCAGAGAACACTGAAGGGAGCAAGGGCAGCTCACCTGGCACAGCCAGAGAGCAAAGCAATGAAACCTAACATAGTTTGGGTTGGAAGATCCATCTCCTTCCAGCCCCTGCCATGGGCAAAGAACCTTCCAGTAGATAAATCCTCCACTTGCACTGAATTCAGCAGCTGAAAACCAGCTCAATCTGTTGCCATCTAACCAGATCCTTGGCAAACTAAACGGAGAATATGTTTATCTCTAGGCGTATTCCACATCCAACCAAGCTGATGCTTGGCTCCAGCTGATGCTCTGGACCCTAAGCTTGGCCAGAGGAATAAGCCTGGAGCCACGTGCAGGCTGTGTTTACCCCAGGCTGCTGTACATCTGCTTTGCATGATTAATATTTAGCATGCAGCAGCACTAAGGGATCACTGCTGGGGGCTGGGGCTGTGCAGAATGTGGGGCAGCTCCTGCTCTGAAGAACCTAGCACTACTTCAGCAAGCAGGCAAAGAAGAGCTAATTAATTGTCATTTTGTAAGCAGGAACCAAAGTACAGAAAGCTGAAATGATTTACTAGAGGTCATGCTAAGAGTTAGTGAATTTTCAGCCTCCTATTGTTTTATTACAGACTCAAACCTCCCGTTAGACCCTCTGAATGTTAATCATTACCTAACTCTTCTCTCTTCTTGCTGCTCTAATTAGATTATTGATGAATTACTTAAAATGCACTTTCTGTAGGAGAAATTTTTTAGATGACATGTTGCCTTTTACTAAACAACTAAATTTTACTAAATTAACAAGAAAGTTGAGTTCTCATGTTCCAAATCTGGGGAAAAGAAGGTTTGAGTTTGTAATGCCTAATTAGTACTAACTGAAATCCAATATTTGAGTTTATTTGGCACTGTACCTGTTATAAATACACCATGTGGCCATTAGTAACTTGTGGTACCACCAGCACAAAAATAGTTACTCCAGCAATTAATATTGCAGAAGCTGTAGATGTCAATAGAGGAGTAGAACAATTGCAACTTTAGAGGTTCATTCCAAACCCTTCAAAGTCAAAGGAGATCTCAAGTTGAGTGCAAGAGGATCTAGATCAAGGTCCAGGTATGGTTTCCTCTGATAAAAATCTAGGATATGTTCAAACAACAGGTGTCATATGGAAATGTCACAGGTCAACTCAGTAAGGCCACAGAAGATATCCCAAGTGCCTGATATGCCAAGACAGACCAGAGGGAAGAATCCAACAAAGTACTCCCACAGATAACTCTGTGGTAGACCCAGAAATCAGTGTTACAAGTTTTAAGTCTCATCCTTGTTGCTCCTGCTCCAGCAAAGCTCCTCATTGTTCTATCTCATCATAGTTTTGCATGTGAAGTTCTCCATCTCTCCAGCAAAACCTTCCCTGCTCCAAAGGTCCCAAGTAATGAGGTAACTCTCAGTCTGCCTCGTGGGGTTTTGTTCTTACATGCTGACTGTGAGCCAGACACTTATTATCATACCTTCTACAAATGCACAGAAGGGTTTTCTCTCAGTGCTGCAGGTCACTGAGATCAGGTTTGAGGCAAGTGATGAATTTCAGCCTCATTGTGTTAAAGGGCTGCAACAGAAAAGTAGGATTTTGGTTTTTTTTGACCAGTGTTAAATGAGGTGGAAGACCTTGTCACTTAGCAAGAGCTTTTAAACTATCTTTGCAAAAAGCAGCAGCTAAAAAGTTAATAGACATGAAAAGCAATTTATTGATTTGAGGTATTCTGAGGGGTTTTAATGCGGGGGAAGGCAGGAGAAGGATTCTGCTTGGGATAATTAAGCCTTAGCTAGTGAAGCCTGAAACATTTATACCAAAAAAAACCACCCAAAACCCCAGAAAATGCCAAAGAAAACCTGACCCTTAGCCTGCACTAAGCCTTTCCTGGCACAGAAGCAAGTGTGATAGCTCTGCAATGATATCTTTTACCCAACTGCTGAGCCACACTCTCCACTGAACCTTGGAGACTCCCAGGAGCAAGCAATTAACATGTAATGAGCTCTGCTTTTATCCAGACCCTCCTATCAACAAGTTCTTGGATGAGGGCAAAAAGTCCAACTAATAAAAAAGGTGTTTTGAAATATTTGGTTTTCCCTTTGGATGTAAATTACTCTTAGCTCAACTCTGTTCCCATCAAAGCTCTTTGCTGGCCATGTACTGACTTCAAAGGTAAAAATAAAGCCTCAACTGTAATAAATCATTTTGCATTTCAATATTTGCTGCTTCAAACACTAGAACATCTCAGAGGACACCATAGAAATCCCAAACATCATCTGATAGCAACTTAGGCACTGGCACTTGTGCAACCTGATCTAGTGAGGAGGTTTCCCTGCCCATGGCAGGGAGGGTTGGGACTAGATGATCTGTAAGGTCCATTCCAACCCTTAATTCTATAATTCTAAGGGGCTCTAAGGTGTCCCTGGAGCTTCTCTTCTCCAGACTGAACATCCTGAGCTCTTCCAGCCTCTCCATAGCAGAGGTGCTCCAGCCCTTGGAGCATCTCCATGGTTTTCTCTGGACTCACTCCAGCAGATCCATGTCCTCCTGATGTAATACAACTTTACAATTGAAGATTGTTGGGTCAAACCCAGTGCAGAGATTTTTCTCTGAATGATTTTCAGCTGCTCTCATGCCCCTGAGAATTCACCTTTTACCAAATGCAGCCTTTGAACAACCCCCAAATTTCTGACTGTGCAGATGGCCAGGAAACTGCTGAGGTTTGAAATGGAAGTGTAAATCAGTCCTCATTTGCACCTGGAAACACAAGGGAATGAAAATAGATGAACCTGCTCACAAGCTGAGGTACAGTTTTAGGTTTGCTAGAGCTCATCTACATGGAGAGGTGAGTAGGAAACAAGTGAGGAGGTGAATTTAAACACTCAGCAACTGCCTGAACAGCACATCCATTCTGCAATGAAAGTGCCTTTCTTTGCTTTAGCTTCTTCACAGCCCAAGTGTGGTGGCAGTTGTCATCTCAGGGTGACAACAGCACAGGAACTGTTGCATGCTTTGGTGTCCAACCTGGCCACACACATTGCTGTGTGCTCAGGGAACCTAGCAAGGCTTTCTCTCTGAAGGAGGGGCTTCCCTTTCTGTTTTTCCCCCTGTAGTTATGGTGACATGGTGCCCAAGACGATTGCTGGGAAGATCTTTGGCTCTATTTGCTCACTGAGTGGGGTGTTGGTCATTGCTCTGCCCGTTCCAGTCATCGTTTCCAACTTCAGCCGAATCTACCACCAGAACCAGCGAGCTGACAAGAGGAGAGCACAGAAGGTAAGTCATCCTCTGGCAGCTCAGCCCCTGTGTGTCACCACGGGGTTTGTGACACCCCAGGGACAATGCTGAGCACTGCAGAGCTCAGTCTATGTGCACTTATCCATCCACCTACACCCACGAGGTCTTCACCTTCACACCGATGTAACCACCTGTAGCCATACAAACTCATTCCTTGCACACACTGTGCTGCTAAATTTTTACCACCCTAAGCAATCAGGCTGTTATTGCTCCCCTTTCTTACATACATGTCTGAAACAAATGCACATGTCATCAACAGGAGCTGTTTATCCTTCTGGCTGCATCACTCCTGTTATCTCTCTGTAGCTCTGAAAACACTCAGCCAGCAACTTCTCAGTACATCCCCCCTCAAGGCTCTTAACTATAGCACTGGGAATACACAAAAGCCCCTGGAAATGTGAAGAGATTACTGAACATTCCAAACTCTGAGCAGTTTTTACTGGTATAAGCTTCTTGAGTCACTGAGAAAATGTAACAGATTTATTATCTCTTCATTTCAATCTGCTAAATTACACCAAAACCAGAATCAGGTTTTTGGGTGGTTTTTTTTACAACAACTGCAAACTAAAGGCCTGAGGTTCTTTTTTTTTTTCCCCCTGGAATTCTGTCTGACAGAAATTCAGGACTCAGGGGACCTGATGGAGAATAGTAGTAGAAAGATGTGTTATTTCTGCTCCAGGCAAGCAGCTGGGTCGTGCCTGCTCCTTGCATCTCAGGGAGCTGACAGCAGAGAGCTGAGATACAAGACCTACAAAACCACAAAATTTGGCAGTCAAAACACATAAGGAGAACAGCAGAGGGACAGAATCCTGCAGGAATCAGTTGCAGCCTCTGTAAGACACTGCTGGGTTTTACACAAACCTGCCTGAGGTTTGACATCTTCCATGTGAAACACAGGAGGTGTTTTAGAGGGAGAGTTGTTTATTTGATCAGACATACAACAAATCATAGATAAAATCTAAAGAAATCCTGATAGAAGTTCAGTCTGTACCACACACTGTGCCATCAGCAGCTGGACAGTGGGAAACCAGGATGGATCATTGCATTCTTTTAATGAATTTAAATGTTTTGCTGTGAGCTGCTTAACGTGAGGCATAAGGAATCAGGATTTCACTTGCAACAGGGACATGGGAGGATTCAAAGCACAGGAAAGACTGGGAGACTCAGGGCAAGGTTTAAGGGGACAATGTGCAATAGACTATTTAAAGAATTGAAGACTTAAAGAAACTGTTCTACTGAAACAGCACATAAACAGAGACAGAACCTGTTCCCCAGCTCAGCCAGGAAAGGAGCAAGACAAATAAACCAGATTTGTGCATCATTTAAAGAACTGAAAACTGAAAAAAAGAGCACATAAACAGAGGCAGAACCTGTTTCCCAGCTCAGCCAGGAAAGGGGCAAGACAAATAAACCAGATTTGTGCATAACCACAGATCACAACACGAAACAACTCCAGAACTGACTCCAGGTCTGTCTCTGCTTTTAGATCAGGCAGTTCTTCCCTGCAGGCAGCAACCCGAAGTTTCTTCTTCTGATTCACCTTTTCCTTGATTCATTGGACTGTGATCCACTTGGTGACAGAGGGAAAAGTACCACCACCTTTGATGCCAATATGATTGATTGCAGCTTTTATGAGGTTTGCTGTATTGACATACACAGTGTATAATTTCCCCCCATTTGAATTTCTAATTCTTCTGATATTGGTTGAATTTCTCAGCTAAGAAAGTTTTCTCAAGTCAGAAGTGTGAGTAATTTTCACATGATCATCACTGCATGAATACTAAAGAGAAGGGAAGGGAGAGAAGCACATTAATGACAGTCCCCTCTGGAGATGGTCAGGGTGTACATAGGGAGGTTAAGGATCTGCTTGGATCTTGTTCCAGCATCCTCCCCCAGTGAGCTCAATCCCATCTTGAGGAACAGTTAAAGCTCTGTCCCCACCTAATTACAGACACAAAGATGTTTGCAAGCAGGTTGGAAAAAGCTCTTTGCATTCTCAGTCCTTGAATATGAAGAACCCAGGAGTAGAAGCTCCTTATAAACTGAATTTAGACACAGCTTGAAACAACATGGAGCTTTATTTAGCATGCCAGAAACTTTGCAAATTACTTTGCTCTTTTAATTGAAGAGTATTTTGGTGAGTATTTATTAGGATGTTGTAGAAGTTCTGTTTACTTCAAGAATCATAACTTTTAGAACATATGAATAGGTTTCAAGATGAGCCTAAAGACCAGATTTACTTATTTTTAATGCACTCAGAAGTTTTCCAATGAGAAATAATAAAGGCAAAAGTACTGAACAAACAGCAAACTGGATGAATGTGACATTCACGGATTTGAAGGTCGAGGTGTGTGTAAGCCTGAGCTCTCCAAGAGGGTTCTGAGGGGCACAGTGAGAGTTTCTCAGGGGCTGCACTCCAAAAACCAGGAGAACCCAGCACAGCCCCCATGTCCCTCTAGGTTCTGATGTGTTCAGTCCTAACTTTGTCTCTTCACTGTTGAGGAGGCACTGGTCTAGCAGGAAGAGGTATTTAAATAGCACGAATAAAATACCAGGAGGTGGCTGTTACTCATCAGCATCTATTCTTCAGCTAACTGAGGAGAAATATTCCTTAAAAAGGAAAAAAAAAACCCCAACAAAACCCCAAACTACCAGTGATTTAATCACACTGAAGATGAATTATTCTTTGCCAAACCTGCACTGCAAGACAATTAATTACAAGGAGATCTGGTAATCGTAATTTATTGTGCCATGTCATCAAATCCTGTCCTCTGGCATGCAGCAAGGACCAGGTCAGTCTGAATGGGAGATGAATTGATCATTTCTGACAAGGTTCATTTTGGTAAAATTGTTGTGGTATTTTTTTCCCCCAAAGACTTTTTTTTTTTTTCCCCTTTTTGACTGATGTGCTAAGAATAGACTTTCCTGACTTTGAAACGATGCTGTTCTTCAGTGAATGTCACAGCCTTGGATTTAAAAGAGAATTTGACACTTAAAAGGCTTGACAATAGAATGACTTTGTAATTCAGATGATGCTGGAGCCTCTCACTGTGTTCAGTTTGCACCATAGATACAACATGAAGGAGAAGGAGAGAACTATTTGGGGCTGGACAGAGGTTTACACCTCCCACTTTTTGACCCTGAAAGCAGTTAGAGGCAGCTGCTAACAGCTACTGAAATGCTTCTCCTTGAGCAGCAGTGGCAAAAGGAGAACAGTTCATTGTTTCATAGTTAGAAACTGAGTGAATACAATCCCAAGCCACAACGTTCTTCCCACCAGAGAGAAATGCAGGTGCCAGATAACACTCCCAGGGATGGAGCAGCCACAGCTGCTCTGGGCAACCTGTGCAGCCTCACAGGGAAGAATTCCTTCCTAACATCTAATCTAAACCTACTTTATCAGTTGGGATCCATTCCCCCTTGGCCTGGCACTACAGTTCCTGATGAAATTACAGGTGAAGCCTATGTGGTTGTCAGCCCCAACTCCCTGCACACAGGAATGCAGGTGCAGATGAAGATTCAAGTCCTCAAAGGCACATTCAAGGCAGTTTTGGACAGGCTCAGGAAGCACCTGGAAGGAGAGTGGCAGCTGAAACATTTGGCAATAGCAACAAGAGCCTAAAGCAAACTGGTCTCTAGATCAGCTTCAAGGGCTAAAGTGTAGACAAGATGTTCTAGATCTCAGTTTGGGGGAAAACCAATGCTCAAAAAGGGTCTGTTACAAACTGAGATATGCACAAGAGGAGGAGAAATGGAACTGCTCAGATGCTGTGGAAAACAAACCCTGTTCGAAGTGCATTTATTGTTTCATGGTTAGATTTGCTAAATGAGCCGAGATCCTGGAGAGGCTGATGCTCTCAGGGGGATTTACATTGGTTTTACTGTTGCATTTCACAGAGGCTAAACTGCATCTCTCCAAATATAAAACTTCAGTAATCACAGGGCTTGGTTTCAGGACTGCTGTAAATATGCTGTGATGACTACAGCCTCTTAGTGTGCTCAATTCATTTTGTCTATTATCTGGTGGCCTTTGACTCCAGGAGAACAAGCACTATACTGCAAAAGCCTTGAGAAAGACATTTCATCCTCCAGGCTATAAAAGTTTCCAGGAGAGAACCAAGCAGGGATTTAGGCAAGGCAAGGACTATCCAAGACAAAAACCATTTTGTAGAGCTGCTCTCACATAAAACTATAATATGGGACTGCAAACTGTATCAGGAGCTATCCAAGAGCAGATGGTATAAATTAGGTGAAGCAGAGAAGTGGACACATTGTCTGGTGGATGAATTAAAGCATTCAATCACAGAGCCAATACCTGCAAAAGAGAGAGATGATGGGGATTCTGTCTTTTCAGATGGAAGTCGATGAGAGGAAGTAGATGGAGGAAGGTTATTCCAGGCAGCTCCTTGTGTGATGGTTGCACACAGGCAGCTCTGACTCTGCAGCCTGATGAAGAGGTAACTATGGAGATGCTTAGAAGGGGCTTAAGCCAAAAGGAAGGAAGAGTAAGGACACAAATGCCTTTCTGATTGTTCTGCAAGAGGCACATTAGAAACAGCCTGTTCCAGCCCCAGCCCTCCCTGCCAGAGCATGGAAACCAGAGCTGCAAGGAGCAGAGGGGATGGAGAGGGAAGATGGTGGTGAAGAGAATCCTTAATACTAGATCTGTGTCATCCCTGTACCCAGGAGAAAGACATCCCACACACCTGTCAATAACAAGGCCATTATAATAATTGATTTGCTGCAGAGCAGGGGAGTCAGCTTTGAAATGTTCTGCTCTGCAGCTGACACCCAAAATTTTGGAGGTGGGTTAGTGAACTTCAGAGCGTGGAACAGAAGGGCCAGGAAAAGTGACTGGAGCAGAGCTCTGAGCTGTCTAAGGAGAGCTCAGCAACAGAACATGACTCAGTTCCCAGCAGGGAATGGGGTTGGGAACTTAAGGAGAGAGAGAGAGAAACAATAAGGTTAAAACTGGAGCT